CCCCCCCGCCCCTTCCGCCCCCAGAAGTCGAAAGGAGGAAGGCAATGTGCTGGATCCCTGAGTCGGAACGAGAGTGGGGGAGGGGAAGTGGTCTCGTGGAAGATCCGGAGCGGATCCTCCAGCCGCGGAGGGAAGGAACGGCGCCCAGCCCGCTGGAGGAAGAGACCTGGGCGTTGCAAAACCCGGGCTGGATTTTACAGAACAGGGAGGCACGGGGGCTGGAGATCGGAGAGAGCTGCAACGCGTCCAAATACACCCAGGACACGCAAATTTCAGGCCGATTTCTTTCTCGGGAGACGGAGGAATGCGTCAGGCCTAATGCAATGGAGACACTTGGGCTTGCAGGGGCCTGGGGGGGGGGTCCCCAGCTTCCAGGCAGCGACGTGGACGGGGGAGGGGCAAAAGGAGGGCCAGACTCAGCCAGAGGGATCAGCTTGCCCGCGCGGAGTCCGGCCCTGGGCATCGCGCGGGGAAGGGACGCGCGCGGAGGCACTGCCCCCGAGACCGGCCGGCCGGGACACGCGGAGGCCCGCAAAGCCAGGACTGGAGCACACAGGATGGGACAGGACCCCAGAGGAAGCTCCCTGGCAACCAAGCAGGCGCTAGAAGCTGACCGGTGTTAGGGGAAGGTTAGTGTCTAGGAACACTTCAAAAGTCTGGCTCTGAGTTGGGGCGGGGGGATTTAGGTTGTGGGCAAGAGCAAAAACCTGAGGTGGACTTTCACAGCCTAGCTCCTACACTGCAGCTGGTGTGGATTTCAAGAAGTAGGGCAAGGAACAGGCTTGAGACCTGAAGCCGTGGGAGGCTGCCTGGGAGCAGGTTCCGGGCTGAGGCTGCAGAGGGAGCCTCCCATCCCCTCTCCCGAGCGCGGAAGGCGCGACCTGGCTGGGATCCCCCGAGCCAGAGTTGTGACTGCCAAGACCCACGGTGGGGGTTCTGAAACCGGGCCCCACGCCAAAAATAGGCACTTCAACAAAATAGACAAATCAGTGCAGGGTGGGGGCTGGGCGATGGAAGGGGCCAAATCCTGGAGGGGAGAGGGTCGGGGAGAGGCCCGAAAGCTAAGACCCGGCTAGGATCTGGGGAGGCCAGGCCTGGAAGCAGCTGATGGCTCCATTTTATGAAAGATGGGTACAACTCTAAGACTGACAGCTGGGGAGGAGTGAAACCTGGGCTTGGATACTCAGGGAAGGGAGTCCGTCCAAATGAGGCCTAAATATTAAAGCCGGCAGCTCCTGTCAATTTCTGTCTGGCTGAATCTAAGCATACTGGAACGGGGAGAGGGGGTAGGGTAGGTAAATCCTGATGTGGATTTTAGAGGAAGAGTATTACTGCGGGTAGAGGTGGGGTAAAAAAGGCCCTCTGTGGCTAACCTGAGTCTCTCCAGGAAGAATGAGGAACAGGGAAAGAATTTGAAAGTAGAAGCCAGGTCCAGTGGTACAAGCCTGTATCTGTGCCTGGCTGTAATCTCAGTACTTGGGAGGCTGAGGCAGGAGGATTCAAGTGCTGCCTGGGCAATTTAATGAGAACCTGCCTCAAAAAAATAAAAAGGGCCAGCCGGGTGTAGTGGAGCATGCCTATAATCCCAGCACTTGAGAAGCTGAGGCAGGAGGATCATTTGGGTTCAAGGCCATCCTAGGCTAGATAATGGGTTCAGGGCTAGCCTGAACTACATAATGAGACCATCTCAAAAAAAGAAAAAGAAAGAAAGAAAGAAAGAAAGAAAGAAAGAAAGAAAGAAAGAAAGAAATCAGTCAATCACTGAAAAGGGCTGGGGATGTAACTCAATGCAAAGGCACCTGGTTTCAATCCTACGTGTGTATGTATGTGTGGGGGGTTAAATCCCTAAAACTTGGGTCAGTTTTAAATCTGATCTCCAAGAATCCCTTCCAGGAAGCACTTCCTGGTGCCTGAACAAGGAGAGAGGCAGGGATCCCAGCTGAGGGATCTCTGTGACAACCCTCTCTTGCCTTCTAAACACGGCCTTTCTTTCCAGGACTGGATAGGGATTCACATAGCCTAGAACCTGCCCCACAGCTGGCTCTAGCACCTCAGGGCGTAGCAGACGGGTGTGTGTCATTGACTGTGGCCTTGAATGTAAATGGCCAGGTCTGAGCAACTGGATCTGGGGACTCATGGAGATTGGTGGGTGCAAAAATATCCCATCCATTTGTGGTTGACTTCAGCTTTGTTGGGGGGGGCAGCCTTCTTGTACCTTACTTTCCCACTTTGAGATATCAGATATCAGCAGACTCATGGAAGGCACTGAGGTGCTGAGCAGTGGGCACAGTGCTTCAGAGGGAAACCAGGACACGGTTCGCACACACACGCAGCAGAGCATCCAGCTTTCTGTAAATCCCATGCAGGAGGTGGGGGGTGGGGGGTGGGGGGGTGGCTCTGTGGCAGAGTGCTTGCTTAGGGTGCACCAGGGCCTGGGTTTCATCCCCAAAACCACAAAACAAAAGCAGGATTGCAAGGGGGCCAGGATGTAGAGCCCAGGGAAAGCCACGCACCTAACATAACTCTCCAAACCCCCTCCCCACTGCCCGCGGCCCACAGCAGCTGCAGCATGGGGCCTGGGAGGTAGTGTGGGGCACACGATGGCCTCCTTTAAGAGGCCGGGGATTTAGCTCAGTGGTTCCGCCACCTGCCTCGCAAGCGCAAGGTCCCCTGCTCGATACCCGGTACAAAAAAAAGAGACCCCCGGTTCCATTTGCAAATATCCCCTCAGGAAATCCCCTTCCAGACCCCCCTCTGTCTCCCCACACCTGTGATTGAAGGGCGCCCCCGGTGGTGGCCGGAATCGGCTCGCCGACTCCACTGGGGCCGCATCCCCTAGATTCGCGGGCGCCCGAAGCAGAGAGTGCAGATCGGCTAGGGGCGCGAAAAGAGTCGCGGGACCCCGGACCCCAGGGCTGCGCAGTCGCAGTGGAGCCCGTGCCCGGCTGGGCTCTGGCACCACGGCGTTTGTGCGCGCGCATGCAGGTTTGCCCCGCTCTGCCCCTGCCGGGCGGTCCCGATCCCAGAACTCCCAATCCTGGGATGCCCCTCTTTTACAGCGTCCAACCTCGTGCCTCTGTAACCCTGTGCTGAGTGTCCTGCAGGCCCTGCACCTCAGGCACCCCACGTTCTGTGCATCTGGTTCCTGGAGACTGTGCCAGAGTGTCCCGCATCTTTAGTGCCCCCCATTCTGTAAAGCCTGCACGTGGGCACCCCACCTTCTGTGCACCCCATGCCAGAGGACTCCTGTGCTCGAGGCATCTCGTGCCTGGGACACCCCATGTTCTTGGGAACACCCTTGCATCTTGGGAGCCCCATATTCTGAGCCAGTAGCACCGGTGCACCCCTCGGCCACTGTCCCACCCTGCCTTGGGGCTCTGGTTGCCCGCCATATTTGGTGTCCCCCTGCCAGGCTCCTGAAGGCCCCTGAACGATGGCCCCACGTTAGAGATCGCCCTGGGGTGGGGACCTTGAGTCCTCCAGTTCACAGTCCTTTCCTTTCCTTGTTCCCTGACAGAGCACCCTCACCAGCTGCTTGGTGCCAACACCATGGGTGCCATCGATAGTGTCCTAGAGCAGGCAGGTGGACCTGGAGCCTCCTCGAGGGCCCCTTAGAGCAGGGCATGGTGGTACATGCCTGTAATCCAAGCACTTAGGAAGCTGATGGAGGAGGATCACCATGAGTTTGAGGCCAGCCTGGGCTACATAGTGAGTTCAAGGCCAGCCTGAACTACCTAGTGAGATCCCGTCTCAAAAAACAAAAGAACAACAAAAATCAAGGGTGCCCCCTTGTTATTGGGCCAGATAAACAGAATGGTAATGAGAACAGGAATGGCCCAGCCCTGGAAGCAGAAGCAAGGGGGTACTGGGTGGTGAATCTGCCCAGGCCTTAGGATGCCTGAGTTAGGTGGTTGTTTTGTGGTGCTGGGGATGGAGCTTGAGCTCAACACATGCTGGACAGGGCTCCACCACTGAGCAACACCCTCAGACCCTTCTGGTTTTTTATTTTGAGACAAGGTCTAGCTAAGTTGTTCAGGCAGACTCAAAATTTCAATCCTCCTGGCTCAGCCTCCCAAGTACTCACTGTTCCTGGTAGAATGCCCTTGGGTTTTAGCCCCTGTACGGAAAAAAAAAAAAAAAAAAAAGATAAAGTACTCCTAGAATTGGGCTGGGAGGATAGAGTGAGAGTAGGGATTAATTTCAACTGCTCCCTTTGTGTGTGTGTGTGGAGTTCAGTCATCATCGAACTTTTTTTTTTTTTAGTACCGGGGATTGAACTCAGGATCTTGCGATTACAAGGCAGGCAGCAGAACCACTGAGCTAAATCCCCAGCCCTCAGTGAACATTATTGATCACCTATTGAGGCCCAGCA